GTAACCACTCGTGACACCCCTGAGCCCCTGAAACATCAAGCGCCACCCAGATACAGCCTCCAGACGGAAGCGCCACCCTGAAACAGGCCTCTGAGGCCAAACGCCACTCAGAGGATGAAGAAGAAGACCAGCGCCACAGTATCTGATGATGACGAAGTCTTGGAAGACTTCCCGGATGGAAGTCTGCAGCAGCGCCACCAAACCCTGACAAGATGCCCTCTGAGGAAGAAGCTGCAGCTATGGCTGCAGCGAGAACAACCCTGGAACCCCACTCCGGAGGAGGGTCCAGCAGGGCACCAACTTCTCTCGCCTCCAGCAGACCTCGATAACCCAGACCTCTGACAGCCCCGCGTGCTGGCAAAGTACAGCGCAGGTCCCAGCTATGGCCGGCGCTCCGAAGGTCTGGCTACGCCTGTCTCCTTCCACGCTGAGCTGTCACCACTTCCAGTTCACGCGTAGCGCAGCAGCGATGTACTCGGTACCAACTGCCAAAAAAAGCCCTGAACCGATATGCCCATCCTATCTATAGACTAAAACTAGCCTAGACTCGACCTAGACCGGACTGACTGAGTGACCAGTACCGATTCAGTTTCGGCCTCTTGGCCTCTACCTTACCCGGCAATAGGCTATAGGACCGTCTATCAGCATAGGCCTTTAGGGCCTGTCTGTCCTAGGGGTAGCCCGGGCCTGCTATTCGCAGTTAGGATAGCTGTAGGGAATTCTGTTAGTACGGGCCTATATTTTCCCGAAATTAGAAATATGTCCCTCACGAATTTCCTTACAGCCTTACAGGCAGGTCTCTCGGTTAGCCCTCAGCCAAAGAAAATTAGGAATCTAACCTAAGACGCGACCCAACCGAGGCAAGCCCCAAGCTTCGCCCTCGGCCCAATGTACAGTCCACTGAGAATCTGCAGGCTTCATTACATACTTACCCCCCCGGGGAGAGCGGACCTCCTCGCCCATACTTCATTTCCTGGTAATGAACCAGCAGATGAAGTGGATGTAGAGATAGGACTCTTTCCTGAAGAGGAGAACCCGAGAGACTCGCGGGGTAACCTATGCCCCTGGTCACTGCTGCAAACAGCAAGGTCAGGAGGAGGCAACCTAAAGTGTCAGCTGGTCTCAACTGCATCAAGAAACCACGGTAAGACCTGGTCCTTGATTGTCGTGCAATCGACCACTTCTGAAAAGTTGAGGTTCCGTAGGCGATGCCCTATTGTTGCAATCCGGTCTCCTATACTCGTGACCAGCACTGTAAACAGTGATGTCAGGAGAAGGAGAACTCGGAGTGTCAGATGGTCTCGATTGCGTCAAATGACCACAGTAAAACTTGGCACCCGACTATAGTGCAATCGTCCATGCTGAAAAGCTGAGCTACCTAGACATTGAGCTATAGTCGTTGGTCCGGGTATTTACCCCTAGTAGA